GGAATAGTTTTAAGAAAATATGATGACGACTATTACTAATAATCGTGATCGTATAAGATATACAATAATAATTATTAAAAATTCATCATTATATAAATTTTCTTACTTTTTAAAATATTACCGTAATAATTTCGATAATAACTTCAAAATAACTACTGTATAGTCGATTTTTATATTTATGCTCGTGAGTAACAAATTAAAGTATTTCTTACGTGACATATGAAAACAAATACATGTTACTTTTCTATTTTTATAAGTCTCGATAAATACATGTTTTTTTAAATTGACGTGTCTTTTTTAACAAAGTTTGAGAAAAATCAATTTCCCCTACTTTTGGCTTTCAAAAAAAATATTTTTTATCCCTTTTGATTGACAAATTTTTCTCATCGTCTTTTAATTTGTCTAATTCTTTGAACTGACAAATCAAAGATGTAAAGGACTTACTTTAAATAAATTATATATATTAAAATTAAAATAATAAATATTATAATTAAAAATATTAAATTTTTATATTATATTATAATTTTTTAATTTATTTAAAATATATTAATTAATAAATAAAAAATAAATTATTCATATAACTAAATATATATTTTAAAAAATACATATATAAAAATTATTATATATAAAAAAATTATAGACTAATCCACTAACTTACTAGCCTTCCCCAAATTTGTAAAATCTATTCTACCCATTTGTAATAAGTTAGAGAGAAACGGAGTCAAAAGATAATGGGTTGACGTGCTTTATCTCCTACTGCTCCGAGACTGGTGGTAATTTGATAACCATGTTTAAAGCAAAACGAGTAAGAACATAACGAGGTGAACTGCTTTATCATCCTACTATTCCGATACTCGTGGTCATTTGATAACCATGCAGCCATAAAAATCAACTCCTGGCCTGTCATTATTAATTAGAATACTTCGAGACACGCGTGTTTGACCTGAAAATTTCCACAAGACTTGTTTAAAGCTATAATTTTCCAACAAATTCCAAATTATCCACGTTTCTATTTTAAAAAATATTTGCAGATGCGAATTTCCAACCAAAATTAAAATTATCTATGCCATTTATCAACAGAATAAGTCTGATAGAAAATGACTTGGGAAATTCGGATCAAAGATCATAAATGGAGAGGATGTGTAAAAGAGTCGAGTTCTTGAAACTCTAATTTGATTTATGGAAAAAACTTACTCCTTTTGACTTTAAGTGTGGAATTTTTTTGAAGAATTTGAACAAGTAATCTGAATAATTTGAATGTTCATATATCTAATCAAAATATTATAAATGCTTACAAAAACATTTTTATCATAATATAATTGTAATCAACATAATTTTCACAATTTGAACGTCTATTTTTTTATAATTTTTTTACATTCAAATTTATAACAAAAATATATTTTTGATTAAAATTAATTAATTAATCGTACAATTTTATTTTATCAAATTTATAGTTTAATCAAATTAAACATCCCACATACTTTGTTTTTTTATAAAATAAAATAAAAGAGCTGATCAATTATGTATACATTAATTCATCATTTAGTTCAATTATTACTAAATCAATAACATTTAAATTAAATATAAGGGTATACTTTTCTATAATCATCATCGATGATTTATGAAAAGAAATCAAATAATTTTAAAATAAACAAAATTCTTATATTACCATATTATATTATGAAGGAAGAATTTATATAAAAGTAATTTTAAAAGATTTATTTGTATTGATTTAATCTATTCATTAAATGATTATTTATTAAAATAATACATAACAAAAAAAATGTGAGAATAGAGAATTTTAAATTTATTTTAAAAAATATCATGATTACTCCATCTTATAATCTTCTTAAGAACCAGATACCTGTCGAAAGTAGGTGATTTATTATCCGTAAAAATGTATAGAAGATAAAAATTAGTAAAATGTAGACAGATTACATTAAATAACCTTTATATATATATATATATATATATATATATATATATATATATATATCATAAATTAAATATAAATTTTATTTTTTAAATGTTTAAGGATAAATTTATTTTAATACATTAAAATAAACAAAATATAAACACGTAGATGATAAAATAAATATATAAAAAGTAAGAAAATTTTAGAAACGTAGAGAAAAAAAGTAGTAAAATCAGATTAATATATAATTTAATCAGGAAATTTAAAACGATTTTGAGATAAAGAAAAAGAAGAAAAATGTATAATTAATTTTCATAATTAAAAAATGGTGTATTTTGTCTCCAAAAGGGAGAAAGGCCAAACCTTTTCATGATGTAGATAAAATAATGTTTTTCTTTCCGCACGAAACAGAATGCATAACAAAGTAAACTATATTTTTGGTCGAGAAAAGTATTTTTTAATTGATTAAAATGGTGTATTCAAAGAATAAGACACAATGCATTGAATACTTGAATTCTTAATTTATATCAATAATTAAAAATAAAAATGCATTTGAATTTTGTTGTAACTATCCTAATCTTGTACTAATATTCAAATAAAATTCTAAATTTCCAAAATATGACACTTTCACGTAAAGCAATATTATTGGAATACACTCAGACGAAATCTTTTTTCTCCTGTTTAGTATTTTTGGATGGAGATGGCATATGTTCATAGTCACTGCACGTTTTCTTATATCACTTTCACACAATACAAATGTCTAATATGTAATAGAAAAGTATATTATTTGAGTTGGAAAATTTATGGACATGGTTTAGGTACTTATGCAAAAGGTTGATTGTTGAAAAATATATTATTTGAGTTTAAATATTTATGGATATGGTTTAGGTACTTTTGCAAAAGATTGATAGTAAATATTTACGGATTTTGATAATTGTATTGAGTGGGTTAAATAATATATTATTAATAAATAATAAAAAAATATAAAAAATAAAAATAAATATATTTATAATAATTAAATATGAAAAATAAAATTATAAATGTTAATATAAATTATAAAATTTTAAGAATGGTGATGATCTTCTCATCTAAAAAAAACTTGACTACTAATTATACATATTGAAAAGAAACACCTTTACGTATTATATGAAATATCATATACGAAAGCATAATTCCTTTATTTATTTATTTATTAATTAGTGATAAAAAAATTCATCTTTAAAAAATTCGATGAAAAATGACGTTTAAAATAATAAATATGATAAAAAAACTTAAAAAGAATTTTTTTTACGTAAACTAATGATAAAATAATATTATAATATATATAAATATTATTTTATTAAATTAATTTTGTAAGATTGAATTAATTTTTTTTGAATTATATATATTAACTTCTCACTCCATGACCTGTAATGTACTACAGCATCAAGAATCAAGCGTAGGTTTGGATTATTGTCAACCTCAACACTTGATTTGGCATCTACTTCTCCCCTGTTTCCGACAATTACACACCCCATTTGTCTTTTTAGCAAAATTTTTGAGTTTATTGATTTTGGTTTTACTGATTCTTTTATGATATCTTGCTTGAAGTTTTACCTGAAATTATAATGCTTCCTTTATTAACGATTATATTATGATAGCTCGGTGTGTTTTTGTTGAGTGAGTTTTAATTAATACCTTGATACAGCTATGTGCTTATCATACCATATAAATTTAAGATTGCTAATATTTGCATGTAATTTTCTCTTAGATAAATTATATTCTACCCTTTCTTTGGCTAGCTTAATCTATAGTCCATTATCAAGGTGAGATTTTGGCCACAATAGCCAAGTCTCATTGCCTCAATAATAACTCCACTCATTCTCAATTATCAGAGGCAAATAATTGAAAGGATAATGTTCCCATGATAGCGTGTGTAGTCACATGAATACAGTTTTCTGAATAAATAAATAAAATCCTTTGACGGGTCTCTAAATAATTAATAACTAGAAAGTGTACAGACTACAATAATCTCATGGCACAATAAATTATTTTTGTTGTTACGCAAAAGTTTTAAATAATTTTTTTTTATAATATAGTTATGGTCATGTAATTGAAAAGTGCTGCGCTTGTTTTATAATTTACTATGATGAGATAGGAGTCTAATAAACATAAAAGATTAAAGTATTGATATGAAGTTGAAAAAAATATTAAGATATTAGATTATGGACTTTTTTTCCTTATATGTTATTATTGTTTTTTAGTTAATTTGTTACTAAATTCGAATAAGTAGAAACTTGTCTAAAATCTAATTTATTTTATTGAGTTAATTTGTATCAGATTCGGATAGATTTGAACCCTCATTATATGTCAGTGTGATGACTTGATTCTTAACAATTTTTAATTATGGACAAGATTTTTAAATTTATACGATTTCTGTCCTTAAAGAATCATTACCAGACTAAATATCCTGTGAGTGACCACATAAATCAAACATGAGACAAGATAGATGATATGGATATAACAATTTATAATGCCAAAAAAAAAAGTTATGTTTTAAAATTTTTCTTCTAAATGTATTGAAAGTCTTATTCGGAGTTTGTCAGCGTAATTAAAATTATATTTAAATTTAATCAACACCTGTCTATTCATTGATTTTTATTTATTTTTATAATTAATGTCGGAGGTACTGACGAGTTGAGTATGCAAATTACTAGCCATGTAAGTGTAGATCATAGTATCAAGTTTATTTTTATGTACGTCTAAGTACAAATATCATAATATCAAATTCAGGCATTCTTATCTCTCAACTTTGAAACTCGGAGAAGGAGAAGGCAACGAAGAAAGCATGGAGTTTGAAATAATTATTTTAATTAATTTAATTTTGGACAACACCTATGAAGAAATATATTTAATTTTGGAATTCAAACTTTTTATCGATCCTTGGACCAGCAATCGTCGTTTGCAACTGAGTTAACTAGTTGATGACGTGAAATCACTAAAAATTCCAAGACTTTGATAGCTCCATTTTGCTATAAATACTTTCATCATCTAGTGGAGTAGCATCAAACCAATTTACAAAACCCTAAACCTAATAATCATCCAAATGGCCAATTCTAGGACTCTCTCGTCCAATTTCTTAATCCCACTAACCCTTCCCTATTTTTTCTTCTCCCTAGTAATTGCCAATTACTACCACACAATATCTCCAATGCACTTGGGTTTTCCTGAGGAGAAAGTCACCCATTTTCACTTTTACTTCCATGAAGTTGTTACGAACCCAAAACCCTCCCTCGTTATAGCCACGGAGCCCCTTAAGGGTAAGTCCAACTGTCCCCTACCATTTGGATCCATAATGGTGATCGAAGACCCGTTGACAATTGGGCCCGAGCTTGACTCCAAACTCATTGGAAAAGCCCAAGGATTTTACATATCTGTAGCCCAAACCGAGGGGTTGGAGTTGGAGCTAGTAATGGGGATGACATTGAGTTTCGTTGAGGGAGAGTACAATGGCAGCACCCTGAGTGTGTTAGGGAGAAACACCATCTTCTCTGATGTCAGGGAGATGCCGATTATTGGTGGAACAGGTGCTTTTCGCTTTGCACGTGGCTTTGTTCAAGCTAGGAGTGTTAAGGTCGATTACGTCAAAGGAGATGCAACTGTCGAATACAACGTCTACGTCTTCCATTATTCATCTCATCACAAATTTAACCATGGGATATTTAACGAGGGAACCCAGTACATGACCGACCCTTTATTCAGCAAAATATAGATGCTTTATTAAGTTGCTTTTTAAACTATTTTCACTTGTAGCTTAATTGCTACAATTTATTTATGTTTGAGTTGGCACCAAGTTTATAAAACTTGTATCATGTTAGCTTGTTTTAGCTAATTAAATAATGATGCAAATTTTGTAAACTAACTCCCACGCATAAATAACTTGAAAAATTAGACTACAAGAGGAGACTAGTTCAATTCCGAATACCAACTTCTAATCTCACTACTTAGAATATTGATAAATAAAATTATCAATCTAAATAAAATAATAAAAAGTTATGTGATATTTTAAGTTTAGTCAACTGACTGATGTGCCACGCAAATAATGTCTCTTTCAGAAAATGAACTTTCATAATGTTTACTAGAAGCTAAAGACAAAAGAGCAGGAAAGAGGAGGAAAAAAGAAATCTATGATGTGAAAGTGTTTTTCCAGTAGTTCTATATTTAGGTCAATGGTTGGCATGATCGCTTTGACTTGCACTACCCTGGAAAAACAAAATAATTGGCTCCATTTAATTATATGTATAATTGATTTAAAGCTACATAAATAAATAAATAAATCGATCACTAAGGGACTTTTGTTTCATGTGTGATGTCTTGACTTAAATAGGGTTCATTATCATTGGAAAGATTTTAAAATGAAATGAGGATATATTTAATCGCCATAGAAAATGTTTTAATATAGACTTTATTTTTTTCTTTTTTTGAATTTTATTATAGCATAAGTACACCATATTTTTATAATTATTTATTAAATATACGTTTAGATAAATTTTATTTTTTTAATCGAAAAAATAGTAAAAAGAGGTCAAGAATAAATAACGTACAAAAAGAGGATATTTTGAATATTTTCGAGAAAATTAACCATACATGAATTCTTAATAATATTTGTGTATTTTTAATATAAAATTCCATAATTATAGGATTACAAATTCTATTCAAAAGGCAGTTAGTAAACTAATAATTGATTTTAATAATATAGTTATTGAGATTCTTAATAATGAGACATGAATTAATTATATAAGAAAATATAATATTATCTATAACTAAAACATTAAATTATAAGTTTTTTCACTTATAAATTATTTAATTTTTAAATTTTTTTATAATATGAGATTTCAATCTTAAACTTAGATTTTAAATAAAGTATCATCTTATAATTATATGACATTAAAGTTTAATTGTGATATAATAATTAATAATCGATCATTTAGAACAAAAAATTAAATTTGACAAATGCATTATCATTGTTTAATTCAACATTACATAAGAAATATAATAAATAAAGACATTTATATCATAATAAATAATAATAATTTGAATATTATTTTATCTCAACAAGATTTTTAATTATTTATTAAATTATCTATTATCTCCGAATTCAAACATTGTAAGTGTTCTAAAGCCCAGTTTGAAATTGGACTTCACTAATTAAGTCCACAATGACTTTAAACAAGGTAACAAATACATAAATAATGAAAAAGATTAAAGGAATTAAAATTAATAAAAACACTTAAAAATAAAACTATTTCTCATTAATAATAAAATAATTATGAAAAAAATATAAAATTTAAGACAAATTTAAAACTACTAACTAAATTAACTAATTTCTCTAATCCATCTAAATTGCTCTCTTTAAAAAGGATGAGAGAAAATATAAAGAATTTATTAATTTAATTTACGGTTGATATAACCCTGACATTAATTATATCTGAAGGTCAACAATGAAGGGCTGCATAATATTTATTTAATTATAATTCATCTCGAACGACGGAACTTTCAGAATTTTTATTGTATTTATTCTATTAAAGACTAAATAGAAATTGAAATACACTTTAAAAACCGAAATGATGGTTTAAATTGTATTAATTTTGGATGAGTTAGGTTTTTTTAGTGAGAATGTTATAAAAAGTATAATTTCATTATTTAAGGTTATACGAGATAAATTAATATAGATATTTTTATTATTTTTAATAAATTTGTTAATTTTTTTATTGATATTCTTATTATTTTTAATTTTTTTCCTATGATAAATATAATTTAAAAAATATATATAATTAGTAAAACGAGTATAGATATTTAGAATTTTTATTTTAACGTAACTTTGAATAGCTAATGATAGTGGGTAAAACTACAGAAACAAGAGCATTAATTATATGTTTTGAAGAAAAAATCTCTGCATTAATTTCTTAATAGGGAACAGAACAGGAAAAAGTTAAGAAGAAGAAGAGGAGGAAGATGGCGTGATAATAATGGGAAGACAGTGACATTAGGACAGGGACGGAAAGAGAATTAGGGTGAAGCGAATTACAAAGGAAAAATAAAAATGGTGAAAAATAATAATAATAGGTGTCGTCAATAATGGTTGACGAAGACGTCGTATTCAACGATGGCATCGCCTTTGGAGAAATCGACCGAGTGAAACTTGGCCTGAGCGTAGCCACGTGCGAAGCGAAAAGCCCCTGTGCCACCAACAATGGCCATTTCCCTCACAGGCTCGCTCATGATCATGTTTCTGGCCAAGACGCTGATGGTGCTGCCGTTGAATTCTCCGTCGGTGAAGGCCATGGTCATCACCATCATCAGCCCCATCTCCGCCTGCGAAATAGAAGTGTAAATCCCCTGCGCCTTCCCCACCAGCTTGGAGTCGGGTTCGGGTCCGGCGGTGAGCGGGTCGTCCATGGCCACAACGGTTCCGAAGGGAAGAGCGTCCTTGGCTTTTCCGTTGGGCTCGGCCACAATGACCATGCTAGGGTTGGGGCCCGTGACAACGTCGTGGAAGAAGAAGTGAAGGTGGGTGAACTTGTCCTCGCGGAAACCCATCAGTGTTGGTGTTAGACTTTGATAGTATGTGGCGGTGACCACAGAGAAGAGGAAACAGAGGTTAAGAGAAACGAAGAAAGTGGATTTGGCCATGAGAATGTGAGGGGTGAATTCTTGTGTATGACTACCAATTTGTGTCTCTGGGTTTCAACTCGATGTGAGGATTCACCTGGCTACGACAAATTATATATAGGAAGCAGGGTGGCTTAAAAATTCATTTTTTAATGCCCGTATGTAACTCACTAATTCAAAATCGACACTTTTTTTCTCTTCTCTCTGTATTTTGAAGGCCAGGCTAATATTGTTGAATGAAAACATGACGGCAGCTAAGTGGGGAGACGTACACAGTTGAATGGCAGCCTCAAGAAGACACGTAATACACGACCGAGGAGCTAAATAGTAATTATTTTCGATGCTGAAAACGAACACAACTTATTTGTAAATGATTAAATAAATAAATAACTTACGTACAGCGTTCTTAGAGTTATTTATTTTAATAAAAATAATTATCACTAGAAATTTTAATATTTCATTAAATTTTTTTGTAAATATTTTATAAAAATTACAGTAAATAAGTTTCTTATAAATTTAAATAATTTTTTTTAAAAAATCATAAAAAAACTAATATTTTAGTATTATATATAAAATTAAAATGATATTATTAATAAAATATATTATCATAAATTTATCTTTAAAAATATTTGAGTTTAAAATAATAAAATAATATCATCAGAAAAAATATAACACATATTAAATTATTCATTTCATTCTTACGATCATTTTTATATTAATAACACTTTATTAGAATAATATAATTAAAATTTAATTTGTATATTTTTTATTAAAATTATAAATATAATAATAAATAATAATTTATTTAAAAATAAATAATTTTATGAAATAATATTTTCCTTGTATATTTATTCTTTCGTTTAATATTAATGACAAAATAAAATATATAAAAATTGTCATTTTTCTTTGATCTTAAATAAGAAAAATATTGTTTTACTCAATTTTTTTATATTAATTATTTTTCACTCTCTATTTTTCCTACAAATAAATTGATCTTAATGACAATTACGAGGAATTATCATATTTTTATACACAACAACAATGGGTAAAACAATCGTTATTCTATTTAAAAGATATAACAATAATTTTTATAATAATCAGCCTCATACATATATATTATTAATTTTAGAAAAAGTATGGACATATTTCCAACTATGAATGTAGTTTAAATTGCCGTTAAAATTGACATATATAAAGTATTATTATGAGAATCATCATGTTCTATTTTTTTCTATATTAGTTCAACGTTATGGTTACCTCAAAACTTATATTCAATCAAATTTTACAGACAAAAATCACATGCACAATTAATTAAGTTCTACTATATCTCACCTCACATCATAAACATAATTATAAATCCAACATCATTTTAAATCAATGTATAATTCATTTTAAATATAATTTAAGTTATTCAAAAGATCAAACATGTTTACATAGTATAAAATATAAAAAATATAGTAAAAGTTAAAGTAACTGTAAAAAATACAAAAAAAAAACAATATATGCAAATATTTAATTATAAAAACAATTCCTCTTATTCATTTACCTAAAGTGTTATAAAAATTGATTAATATTTTATCAATGTACTTCTGATGTAGTACAAAGCTTTTATGTCCAATAATTATCATGTAGTACAAAGCTTTTACCTCTAATAATTATGGGTCCATGAAAAAAATGTAACATATTTACATAATTTTATGTAAATCTATAAATTAAAAATAGTTAATATATTAGTGAATTATTTTATCTCAATCTCTTTGAATTCTAACTCGCATAATGATTGTATTGTCTAAAAGTTGCACCTATAGTCTTTGATTTTTTGTTATTACAATCCTAACATAGATAAATCAATCAATTGATAAAAGTGAACAAAATTATATTATAAGAACTCAGGTAAATTTTATTCATCTATATTTAATCTGATATATTCGGAATAAACACTAATATCATATAAATAAAACTTATAAATGTTAATGTAATAAATGTAAAAAAAAAAAATCCTTTATCAATCTATATATATGTTTAAGTATGTAGGGGACTTCTTATAAGGAATAAAATCATATAACGTGATCAAGGGTATATAATTATAACTTATTCATTAAATAAAATGTATTTATTTGGGGATATATAGAATAAAATATTATTTTTTTCTTAGTAAATTATATTATTTTCAATCTTAATGACATAATACGAAGATTAAAGTAAAATTGAAATCTTCTTACGAACGGTTACACTAAGATAAATTCTAAACATTTTATCATTTATTTATGGAGATCATTTGATCAACTTTTAGATATAAGATCTTTGACCTAAAACATTTGAGAAACAGGATGTGTCATGATAAATTATTCATCCTTATTTTTTATATTTAACAACATTTCTTGTATTGTATACTAATATTCAACAACACTTCACGTTGTTTTTCGGATGATAATATGTGAACACCTCATCTTATTATTTTCTTTAAATATCACAAAAATATCCTAATTTACTTATACATGAAAGTCCAAATGTCCGAGTACAAAGGTTAATTCAAAAATATTAATTTAAAAAATTTAAAAATAATAAAAAAGGAAAAAATATTTTCCCCTTTCTCAACCATTAACAAAGTCATACCTCTGTTTTTCATCATCCTACCCCTATTAGCCTTTAATAGGTATTTGTTACAATCCCAACAATTACTTGTTAGATAAAAAAGAAAGTATCATGAATCAAACACGGGGTTAAATAGAAGAATCAGAGGAAAAAAAATTCATAAATTTGTTTTATAATCGTAAAACTAAGGACTAGTCGATTAGTGTAGTGAAATGAAGTTTGATATTTAAAAAGGTTATAAATAGAAAACTTTATTATTCAACCTTTAAATATACAAAATCACAATTTTTCTTCTCTGTTTTCTTTCTAGATTTTATTACCATCTTCTCCTTTATATATATATATATATATATATATATATATATATATATATATATATATATATATATATATATATATATATATATATATTCAAGCACATATAGTGATTTACTTCTTATAGATTTGGGAGGTTTTGGGAGTTTAATAGAGGTAAGGGAAACTAGTTTTCTATATTATACTATTTAAGGATAGATTATCTTCATTGTCAATGTGACTTTGATACATTATTTAAATTTATAGAAAATTAAATTGAAGTGTATGATTGTAGGTTATGCTTTGTCTTCAGGACATTATCAGGTGTTGAATGTATAGAATGTTATGTAAAACAACTAGCTTAGTTTAAGTATAACATGAAAAAACAAGCTTGATAGAATATCTTAAAAGTGAATAGATGTCATGGAATCCATGTTATACATTTTGAATATATTTATATATGCATAATTCTCTTAAGGAACACTCTCTTCCAAGTAAAGATGTTGCAGAGGATGAGAGCTCCTTTATAAAAGATTTTTTTCTCAAGCGAAGATTTGACCACGATATTCTTATAAGTGTTAGAATTATCTTAATCTTATTTTCGTTCAACCAATAATTTCTCGCTTTAATAAGATATTCCTAGTGGAGTGAGACCTGATTTTGTTTTGATTTCGCTCAAGTAAGATACTAGTTACTCAAATGAAAATAATTTGTTTAAGTTAGAGTCCTTGATGACAGATATGAAATTCTAAGTAACTTTATATGATTTTTTTAACTTTCATTTGAATGTATAATATGTTATTAAGAGGTGATATATATATATATATATATATATATATATATATATATATATATATATATATATATATATATATATATATATATATATATGGGTGTCAATATGGGTTCTAACTCGTGAGCCAACCCGGTTCACCACGGGTTCGAGCCGGGTTGGGTTGGATTTTTTTATTTCTACCGATTATGGGCTAAAAATGAACCCGACTCACTTAACCCACGGGTTAAACGGGTTCGAGCGGGGTTATGGTGGGTTGGCCCGCTAACCCACCATTAATTTTAAATTTTAAAAATAATTATAATATATATTAACCTTAATTAATAATTATATTTTAAATTTTAAAAACAATTATAATACTTCAAGTAACCCTAAATGTCTATGTTATCCTGCCTCATCTCTATCCTATATTGTCGTCGCCACAACAAGTCAAACCTCGTCACGAAGCACTACGTTTGTTGCTGCACTATCTTATCATCTCGTTCATCTTCATCAGTATCACTACATCACCGTACCCACTGCATCAGCTTTCAAAGGTAAGAATTCGCATCTATAACCTAAACAATTGACTTGATGAATCTTTATTTGAAAATTGTAACATCTATACATTATTTGTTGTTTGTTATTGATTTATACATATATCTCTTTAATATATGAATTTTTTACTTCTTTCTTTCAAATTAATTTACGATATGGAATCCGAAACAATGCATCAAAGTGTCAATGTGAATTGTGTTGGTGATGACTTTATTGTTAATGAAAAATCCAATGAGCCAATTTCGGTTAATAATGAAGATACTAATGTTGAGAAAGAAAGGAAAAAAGCAAAAGTTTCTACATCCGAAGTTTGGAAATATATATATATATATATATATATATTATATTTATATTATTTAAAAAAAAAATATGGGTTAGTGAGCTAACCCACCAACCCGTGGTGAGTTGAGCCGGTTGTAAAATTTCCGGCTCACCAAAATTGAGCCGGGTTGAGCTTATCTATTTTCAGCTCAACCCGTGGTGAAGTCAACCCGTGTGAGCCGGGTTGGCTCACTTTGACACCCTATATATATATATATATATATATATATATATATATATATATATATATATTATAATGGAATATTTAAGATTGTGTTTTGTGAAAGTATGAATGAAATGTTGTAATATAATGAATACCAAAGAGGTATTCCTATATCAGTAGGGTGTAATGTGTGGGCATCTAATTAGGCATGCAATAAGAGATATGTTAACTCTATTGATCATTGGAATCACACAAATTAAGCAACTATAGTGAAAATCAAATGAGGTTTCTAGGACTCAGGATGTTGTGTAATAAATA